TGCAGCTCCTGCCTCACCTGCAGCTCCTGCCTCACCTGCTGCTCCTGGCTCTCCTACAGCTACTGCTTCATCTACATCCCCTGCTGCCCCTAGCTCTCCTGCAGCTTCTGGCTCTTCTGCAGCTCCTGGCTCTTCTGCAGCTCCTGGCTCATCTGCTGCCCCTGCCACATCTGCAGCTCCTGCCTCAAGTGCAGCTCCTTCCTCATCTGCAGGCTCTGCCTCACTTTCTTCTCCTGAAGCTTCTTCCTCATCTGCAGATCCTCCCTCATCAGAAATTCCTCCTTCACCTGCACAGCTTTCCTCACCAGGAGCTCCTGCCTCACTTGCAGCTCCTGCCTCACTTGCTATTCCTGCAGCTTCTTCAGCTCCAGCTCCTGCCTCACCTGCAACTCCTGCAGCTTCTTCCTCAGCTGCAGCTCCTCCCTCAGCTGCAGCTCCTCCTTCAGCTGCAGCTCCTCCCTCAGCTGCAGCTCCTCCTTTGCCCATGCTTTCTTCCACTGCTTGCCCCTGGGACCGTGCAGGATCCTGTAAATCAGAATCAGGAACTTGGGGTAGGAAGATCACATTCCAGGGTTCCCCATGGCCTGTTATTTGTTGGGGGATCAAACTTCGGTTTAAATACTCAGCGAACTCCACCAAAGCGACCCTGGCTCCAAGCTCCTTTCTGAAGACCCTGCACAGCACTCGGTATCTGCCCAAGGGTCTCAGCGCAGCCTGCAGTGTTGCTCGAAATGCATCTTCCTCATAGTCATCAGGGATGCCCATGATGAGTAGGCAGCGCTGCGCATTCACACCCATCCACCTGCACCAGTCGCGCAGCATGGACAGCCCCATAGCAGGGGAGCTGGGTGAAGGGAGCATGACTGCACAGGATATCAGCTACTGTCACAGTCTCAGGTGCGGCCTGTGGACAGAAAAGGGAGAGAGAGATGTTGGCGCTGGACAGCACCGCTCCCCAGACATCTGCCTCAGCAGCCTAGGCACGCCAAGTCTGTCCTCTTCCCTGTTTTGTTGTTTGACTTTAAAAAAGTTTTTGGTAACAAAATTTATAGAGCTAGCTATAATTTTTATTTCATCTGGTGACAGTTTTAGTAAGTTGCTTCCCCCCAAATTTGAAATCTTGTAAGTTTTTTGACATTTTTGCATATACATGTACTTAATGTTTCCTTTTTATTGTCCGTATGACATAATAATACCCCTTCTCTCATTCCTGGTGTTGGTCATTAACACTTTTGTTCATGATTGTTGTTCTTACCATTTACCAATTTTGTTATTCCAAATAAATCTGTCAGTTGTCTGTGTAGGCATCACTGATTTTATTTCTGTCCTTTCTTCATCTGACTTTTTAATTTACTCTTGGTCTTCTACCTTCTCTAACATAAGCATTTAAAACAAAATTTCCTCTGCTTATTTTAGCTGCCTCATAATTTTGGTAAGTTGTAATTTTTTTGAAATTACAGTTTTGAGTTTGAAATAGTTTCTAAACTCCTTTCTGATTTCTTCTCTGACCTGTGGACTGCCAACTATTTAGAGACTTTCTTAATTTCAAATAAAATTCTAGTGTGATCAGAACTTATTAAATACAATCATTTTAAATTTGCAAAACCATGTTTGGGGTCATTGAAAACTGAATCCTTGGCCTTTACCCTGAGCTACATCTTCAGCCATATTTTACTCTTTACATTTATGAGACAGGGTCTCATGAAACTGCCCAGTCCCTCCACACTCCGCAACCTCCTTTCTGGCCCTCCTCTTCACAGCCAATGGCCGCCCCGCCCCCAGCCTCTACCCTGCCGGCCTGCCTTTCCCGACGGCTGCACAGCCCCAGTGCCTCTGCCGTCCCAGACCGCTGTGCGCTACCCCCGCCCCCTCCCAGTCAGACAGTGGCATCGCCCACCCGCCTTTCCTAATGGCCGCACTGCCCCCCAACACACCCCGACCCCCATCCTCAAGGACGGCCATGGCCGCCAGCCCTGCCATGTTCCAGCCAGATGGCCGCACCGCCCCTCAGCCTCTCGCCCGCTCGCCTCTCCTAATGGCCGGGCTGCCCCCCGCCCCCCGTGTCCTCAAGGACGGCCATGGCCGCCAATCCCACCATGTTCCAGTCAGGCGGCCGCGCCGGCCCTCAGGTTCTCACCCGCCAACCTTTCTTAATGGCCGCACCACCCCTCATCCTCAATGACAGCCATGGCCGCCAGTCCCGCCATGTTCCAGTCACACAGCCATGCCGCCCCTCAGGCTCTCGCCCGCCCGTCTTTCCTAATGGCCGTGCTGCCTCCCCACCCCCACCCCCGTCCTCAAAGACATCCACGGCCGCCAGTCCCGCCATATTCCAGTCAGATGGCCGCGCCACCCCTCAGGCTCTCGCCCGCCCGTCTTTCCTAATGGCCGTGCCACCCCCCACCTTCAAGGACGGACATGGCCGCCAGTCCCGCCA